CTCCACAAAAGACCTCCTAGGATTCATCATCATATTCACCCCCCTACTGACCCTAGCCCTATTCTCTCCCAACCTACTAGGGGACCCCGAAAACTTCACCCCAGGATCCATTGGCCTTCTTGCCCACAAGGACACATTGCTGGTCATGCTCATCCCCCTGCCCCCCAGGGAGCAGCTCCTGCTCTGCAAACACTGCCCCTGCTTTGCTGCTGTGATGTCTGCGAGTGCCCGACATCAGGAGGTTCCAGTTATCACTGGGTTACTTTTTGAGGAGCCTGGGCTGGACAAGAAGCCAGCACAGAGAGGAGGAGAAAGGCTTCATCCTACCATCCAGTAGGGAAGACTGGAATGGATGGAGGTGGAGCTTGTGAAGCACATCCTGGAGAAGCCAACACTACAGCAGCAGCAATTCTCAGTGGCAACTCCTCAGAGCAGAAGGAGCTTGGTTCTCCCTCTAGGCAACTGTCCTTGCCTACAGCTCAGTGCAGAGGCCATGCACAAACCCTGTATTTCTTCCCTTCCACCTCCCCTCATCCCCCCCCAATAATAAGCAAATCAAGACTCACTCCACTGGATTTTTCAGCACCACCTGAAAAGCCACCTGAGAATAGGCAGGGAATACTGAGTGATGTAGAGAAAAACCCCAGAACTGAAGCACAAAGCCCCAGAGAAGTGCCCTGAGGAGGCCATACCTGTAGGGCTGATGGCCAGGTGCCTCCTGGTGCTGCAGGAGGCAGGTCCTGGGGTCAGAGGAGCCAGGCTCAGCTGAGGTCCTTAAGGCCACGGCTGTGATGCCCACCAGGGGGGAGGAGAAGTTGAGCAGCACTGACACGACCCGGTGGGATGGGCCCTCCTGGCCATGAGTCACGTTGATGATGAGGGGGTTGTGCTGGCAGGACAGCTCATACATCCCTGTAAGAAAGGGCAAGGAAAGAAGCCACTAGCTCAGTTCCAGGGACTTACCTCTTCTGCTCCCCAACACATTTCATGTATCACACAATAGTTTGGGTTGGAAGGGACCTTAAAGATCACCCAGTCCCACCCCCCTGCATGGGCAGGGACACCTCCCACCAGCCCAGGCTGCTCCAAGCCCCATCCAACCTGCCCTTCAACACTGCCAGGGATGGGGCAGCCACAGCTTCCCTGGGCAACCTGGGCCAGGCTCTCACCACCCTCACTGGGAAGAATTTCTTCATAATATCTCAAATAAATCCCCTCCTCTTTCATCTTGAAACCATCCCCACTCATCCTCTCCCTCCCTGCCCTTGTCCCAAGCCCCTCCCCAGCTTTCCTGGAGCCCCTTCAGGCACTGGAAGCTGCTCTAAGGTCTCCCTGGAGCCTTCTCTTCTCCAGGCTGAACACCCCAACTCTCCCAGCCTGGCTCCAGAGCAGAGCTGCTCCATCCAACCCTCTGAGCATCTCACTCCAACAGCTCCATATCCTCTTTTGCTTTAGGACTGGACACATCCCAATGGACCAGACTGGGAAGCAGAAGATGCTGTAAGGAGGGGGGAGACAGGAGACAGCAGCCTCCAAATCCAGTGAGGTCATGGTAATGGGGAGGGTACTGGGGCAGCTGGTGTCACAGCCCAGAGGCTGCTCACCCAGAGAGTGGTTCAGCCCGTCCACGTCGCTCAGCTGGACAGTGACCCTGGGGTTGTGCTGGTGGCTTGGGACAGAGCCATCAGAGGCCAGGAAGAGCAGGAGGGCCGTGGGCACTGCAGGTCTCTCAAAGCACACCTGGACAGGAGGGCAAGAATCAGAGTCACAAAATCCCAAGGGGTTGGAAGGGACCTGGAAAGCTCCCCCAGCCCAGCCCCCCTGCCAGAGCAGGGGCACCCAGAGCACATCACACAGGAACGTGGCCAGGGGGGTTGGAATGTCTCCAGAGAAGGAGACTCCACAGCCTCTCTGGGCAGCCTGGCCCAGGGCTCTGGCACTCTCACACCAAACAAGTTCTTCCTGAGATTCACATGGATACCAAACCCAGCCTTTCTGATCCCAGGATATGCAAGAGGGAGAGAGCAGGAGCAGGGTGAGGGGGGCAGAGACTGCAGATGTGCAGGGCAGCCAATGGTGGGAAGAAAGAGAAAAGGGAAAAGTACAGGAACACAATCCTCTCCCTCCTCATTCCCCTTTAGCCTCTCACTAGTCTTTCCCACGTGTATCAGTCCCTGCCTCACCATAATTCATGGCATCTTCCCAGCTTCAACATTTTCTGCTCTTAAAATTGGGAGCAACACCTGAGCAAGACCTGGATACCCTTTCCTACCCTCCTGTCACCAGGCTCCAATTCCCCCCCCCCCACAAAGTGCCAAGCCAGGCAACCCAGAGAGCCCAGCTCCCAAACCCTGCCACCAGAACACTTCCATTCTAAAACCAAACCAAAAACACCCCCCCAAAACAAGAACAAAGAACAGTCCCAGTACCCAGAGTGACTTCAAACTGTCCGGCAGCCAACACGCGGACAGATTTGTGGGAAGAAGTCCTGCCTGCTGGGAGAACTGGCAGTTCCCCACTTGTCTACAACCCCCAAGGCTACAGGAGGCAGCTGGGAAACTCATGGCGTCAGTCACAGCAGGCCAGATGTTCCTTGGAAGTAAGAGGATAGAAATGTTGTTCTCCCCCACACCCTGGTACCCCCCACCCAGTGCCGAGATGTGTTTTGATCAAGACCCACCCTGGGGAGTGTTTTTGTTGAGCACCGGCACGGAGGGAACCCAGAAGTGCCAAGGCATTTGGGAAGAGGACAAGTCCCAGCTGGCCAGGCACAGCCCGAGGAGCAGGATGTGGGAGCAGAGGGGACAACCATCCCAGCTGTGATGGGGGCTCAGCCCTTCTGATTTGGTACATCCCCCCCTGTCTCCCTTGGGGAGAAAAGTAGGGGGAGAAAGGGAAAGGACCAGGCAAGGCAGGAGGAGAAGGAGGACCAGGCAAGGCAGGAGGAGAAGGAGGACCAGGCAAGGCAGGAGGAGAAGGAGGACCAGGCAAGGCAGGAGGAGAAGGAGGACCAGGCAAGGCAGGAGGGGAAGGCAGACCAAGCAAGGCAGGAGGAGAAGGAGGACCAGGCAAGGCAGGAGGAGAAGGAGGACCAGGCAAGGCAGGAGGAGAAGGAGGACCAGGCAAGGCAGGAGGAGAAGGAGGACCAGGCAAGGCAGGAGGAGAAGGAGGACCAGGCAAGGCAGGAGGAGAAGGAGCGACACAGTAGGAGAAGGTGGGCCCAGCAAGGCAGGAGGAGAAGGAGGACCAGACAAGGCAGGAGGAGAAGGAGGACCAGGCAAGGCAGGAGGAGAAGGAGGACCAGGCAAGGCAGGAGGAGAAGGAGGACCAGGCAAGGCAGGAGGAGAAGGAGGACCAGGCAAGGCAGGAGGAGAAGGAGGACCGGGCAAGGCAGAAGGAGGAAGACAGAGGAGCCAGCTGTGCTTGCAGGTTGCTCCAAGGAGCAGCCCAGGACAGAGCTGCAGTTGGGAAGCCCCAAGGAGCTGTGTGATTTTAACCCAGCCACCTGCTGAGGAACCACTTCCAAGTGCAGCTCCTCAGGGGAGGAAAAATGGTTGGAGAAGTCAGGTGAGGCTTTCCCTGGATTACACATCTTGAGATGTATTCTTTCCCTTCCCACACAGAGAGCAGCTCCTCGGAGGTGAAGCACACTGGCCCTCAGACCAACAACAGCTGGCTTGACTAACAACCCCATTCTTCTTAAAACATATGCTTGGCCACAGTGATCTATCCTAAATTTTCTCTCTCCCTCCTCCTGCCTTCCTGCTTAGTTTCCTGCACGTTACACATCCTGACTTGCTTACAAGCAATTTTGATTTATTCCCTCATCAGATGTGTTAGCAACTAAGGACAAAGCCTGGGCACATCATAACCATCCCCATCTGCAGACAGAACCAAGACGTGTGGTAGATACTTCATCAGGTGGCACACACACCTCCCACCCCCAGCATGACCCAGCCTTTCTCTTCCCCATTGGTGCCACCTCATGAGAAAGGCTGTAGGAAGAGGTTCTGACCACCAGATGAGTCTCGTGGTGTGGCTCCAACCCGGGTGACACAGGTGCAATGGCTTTCAAGTGGCCACAGGAGCTGGTGGCCATGAAACCCCAGGCAGACGGGGGTACAAAGAGCACCACTCCTGGCTGGCTGTGCTAGAAAAACTGCCAACAAGAAGCTGTCCTTCCTAAACCAGGCAAACTCTATTAAAAAGGGAAGAAAAAAAAGAAAAAAAAGGGCATATTTATGACTAGTCCATAAATAATTTTATGGGCAGAAAAGAACAGCACTCCTGAAGTGAGCACTGAGAGCCAGTCATGAGAAGTCTTTAATATAAACATCCATGGAGGAAGGGAACTGACCACAGGCTTCAATAAAAGTGGAACACACTTTAACCCCTGGTGAGAAGTGGAAAGCAAGCTTTCATCTAGGTAGGGCAGCAGGGGACACTGCAACTCTCCTGCTGGTGAGGGAAGGAAGGAAGGAAGGAAGGAAGGAAGCACATTTGTCATGGGCAGAGACTGGAGCTGAAAAGTAGGTTGTGAGAATAGAGGCAAGGAAGGAGGAGGAGGGTGGGGGAAAGATGTTAAAGGTGGTTCTTTGGAGAGACAGAGAAGCTCCAAGGCAATACCACTGTTTATTGACTCAGGTTGGACACGAAGGAAGGAAGGAAGGAAGGAAGGAAGCACATTTGTCATGGGCAGAGACTGGAGCTGAAAAGTAGGTTGTGAGAATAGAGGCAAGGAAGGAGGAGGAGGGGGGGGGAAAAGATGTTAAAGGTGGTTCTTTGGAGAGACAGAGAAGCTCCAAGGCAATACCACTGTTTATTGACTCAGGTTGGACAATTCACCAAGTTGTCCAAGTGTCTTGGGCAGAGAGGTCCTCTCTAGAGAACCTGGAGCAAAGCAAGGCAAGGTGGCCCTCAAGCTGCAGGGGAAGCCAGGGCCCAGCTTCCCAGTAACACCAGGCACCAAACCTCTAAACCACAGCTGTGGTCAGCAAACCAAGGCTGTAAAAAAACCAGTCCTGCTGGCCTAACCCTCAGCTTTCCTCTATCCTCTGCCAGGACAGAGGTTTGACCCTCCAGGTGCTGTCCCTGGAGCAGCCCCTGAGCCCCCGTGGGGCTGCAGGACCAGCACCTTGTGCACAGAATTGCCTTCTTCAGGCTGGAATCCCTGTGGGATGGGAGGACTTATCTGCCACAGCTGATGGCTGAAGGTGCTGAGCAGCACCCTGGAGGGCTCAGCACCCCTCAGGGTGGCAGTGTTGTACCCAAGTACCCTCTGCTGCTCTTCACAGCCATGGGGAACAAAGGCAACAAGGATTTTAACCACGGCCTGTGCCCACCCTTTGAGGGGGTAACAGCCCAGCTTGACTGCAGGGAGTGGTCAGGAGCAAGTAGTTTCTTAGCCTCTACACATTTCTGTGGGCTTCTGGTTTTGGGCACAGCCCTTCTCCTGGCAGTCTGCCCCAGGAGGGGTTGGCTGTTTGCAGGAGGAATGGGGCAACTCCATCAGACCCAGCCACAGGCATCTGGGGTTTGCAAGGAGTTGAGTAGGATAAGAATCCAACCCAAGCACTTTTTCAGGCTGCTGTAGCTCCTACAGGACATAACAGGATGGGGGTTTGTTACCAAAGTGTTGGGGACAGCAAATCCCTCCTGTGTCTGATCACACCCTTGCTTACCTTGAGCCAAACTCCCTCATCACCCAAGGGCATCCTCTCCTCATCTGGATCCTGAGCTTTGTCTTGGCTGGGAGCACAGGGGAACCAAGCAGCCAGGGAAAGGTCTTTTGGCACATCACAAAGGTGTGATTTACATACCTGGAAGGAGATTTATTCCAACCCAGAAAGAAGCAAAGAAAGTGAGAGGAAAAAAAAAACAAAAAAAACCAAAACAGCACCTACAAAACCTCTAGGAAGACTCAACAAACACTGAGCAGGATCCTAACTTGGTTCCCAACATGAGGACAAGTAGGATGTGGGTTCCTAAGCAGGAGTGACATCTCACTGTCCACACATGCTCAGGTGGCCCTTGCCATTTTGAAGGGCTGTAAATATGCTGTTTAAGCACACCATGGTGTCTGTGGGGCACAGTGACAGAGAAGAGAAGCTGTGAGGTGGTAGGGAAGTCCCCACAGCCTCATGGTTTTGGCAGGGCTGACAAGACCCAAAGGTGTGATTCATTTGCATGAAGACCAGACTTCTGTGCCATTTGATGCCCTACAGTAGCCCAGATGTCCCCATAGGCCTGGCAGACAAAACCCTGGAGGTACATGTGTCGTTCTAGAGGAGAAGACACCTGAGCCCAAGGCATCTCAGTAGACAGTTACATCTGGGCAATCATCCTGTAGGTTTCAAGAAGATTGTTCCTTAGGTCAATAGAAACCCATGTAAAGGGCAAAATGAGACCCCTCTACATATTTTTCTCTTCTTCAGCTTGCTGGGAAATAACACACACACATCACGTTACCATCAATCAAGGAAAATCCCATCCTAGACCTCCAGGCTTTGCTCCAAAGCCCATATGAAAGCTGGGAATTCTCCCATTGATTTTCCCTTGGCTTCAGATCAGAGAGGTTGAGAGCAGCACAGATGCTGATGTATGTGTGATTTTACCCTCTCAGGCCTTGGCTGTGTAAGGTATGAGAGAGATGGGGTTTCTAAACCAACAGTGGGACTGCTCACGTGCTTCAAGTCGTGCCTGTCACTGGTGGGACTGGGAGCTCACTGGTTAGCAAGCTGCACGGTCAGGGAAGGTGCTCTACCTGCTTTGGTAAATCACCACACACTGCAGTTCCTGGGCTTAGGATCTACTGAAAGAGGGGTGTGCAAACCACCTAGATTTGGCCTTCAGTAAGCAATGAGCACTCCCAGAGCTGCTCTGCAGACGTTCTTGCAGCAGCGACTTCCCCAGCTTTCCTGGAAAAGTCTTTTTCTCGGCCATTCCTTCAACTCACCTTCACAACAGGTTCCCCAGTGACCAAGGAAACAGGACAGGACTTCAGGTCCTGATGGGAGGCGTAGGCTGTGGCTGCCCACAGATCCAGGTACCCCTCAGGTGTGTAGGGACCACAGTCCAGGACACTGCTTGTCACCTCGAACGCCTCGCACGCGCCGTCCCCGTCGTGCACGTAGCACAGGCTTGGTTCCCCTGCAAGAAGCAGTCTGAGCAACACACAGCTTTGACTCCTGCCCCCAAAAGGAGGTCTCCCATCCATATGGGACTCACCAACACAGTTGAAGCCTTTTTCCTTTTTACATTTCCTGGAACAGCCATCCCCATCCAGCAAGTCCCCGTCATCGCATTCCTCCTCCAGGCTCCTAAGAGGGCAACAGCCAGATGTGTTAACATCACCACCTTGACTCAACATCTCCACACTTCTGCCCAGGCCCCAGTGAAGACCTCATAATACTTGTTCCATTTCCACGGGAGCAGGGAGAAGAGGAAGAACCACAGGTGGAGTGTGGTAGAGGAGGGAAACCACCATATCTTGCCAGAGGATAAAAAGAGCTTGAGGACACAGAGAAGGCCTGACTGTCCTGTGACTTCCTTCCCCTTCCTTCCATTTTCCTCACACTGCTAAGCTGTTTTCAATGTAAAACTGTTGAGTAAGCTGGAAGTTGAAGACCAAAAAGCTCAAACATGGAAATTTGGCCTAACAAGCCCCAGGCAGAGCAAGGAAACCACTGGAGTCTCTCTGAGTAGATGTGGTGCATCCCTCATCATTTGGGGTCTCTCAGAAGGGACCAGACAGCTCTCTGAAGACACTACACTGAGTGGGACTGTGCTTGCTGCACAACCTGCTGAGGCAGGGCCACCATCATGTGCCCTGTGCAAAAAAACCCTATCTATATCTTGGCCAGTCCCAAATGGGGATCTTTTTAGGGTCAGACTCCACAGCAGTTGGCTGAGATGGGTCAGAACCCAAGCACTGCAGTCAAACGCAGAGGGTGTTCAGGTTGGATCCCTCCTCCAGACCCTGCTTCTCAAGAAGACTGTCCCCATCACAAATGCATGTGGCATTTCACAAAATGCATGGGCAGGGACACCTCCCACCAGCCCAGGCTGCTCCAAGCCCCATCCAACCTGCCCTTCAACACTGCCAGGGATGGGGCAGCCACAGCTTCCCTGGGCAACCTGGGCCAGGCTCTCACCACCCTCACACTACAGAATTTCTTGATAATGTCTCAAATAAATCTCCTCCTCTTTCATCTTGAAACCATCCCCACTCATCCTCTCCCTCCCTGCCCTTGTAAAAAGCCCCTCCCCAGCTTTCCTGGAGCCCTTTCAGGCACTGGAAGCTGCTCTAAGGTCTCCCCCAGAGCCTTATGTTTCTCCAAGCTGAACAACAGCAGCTCTCCCTGCCTGTTCCAGCTGCTCCATCCAACCCTCTGAGCATCTCACTCCAACAGCTCCATATCCTCTTTTGCTTTAGAACTGGACACCTATGGGTAGAGGACCAACCCAGTGGTTCCCTTTGGGGCAGGATGTCCTGACAGCTTAAAGAAGCTCAGCTGAGAGCTTGGGTTTTGCTTGACTTACAAGGTGACCTTCCCATCCCCACAGTAGGGTGCTCCATGGACATGGATGAGCGGTGGGGAGGCTTCTCCTGAGGTGGTCCCAGAGATGGCCTGCACCTGGTAGTGGTACACCTGCCCAGGCAAGACTTCCCTGCAGGAACAGAGAGGGCTTGAATGAAGAGCAGGAGGGAACAAGCTCCTACACCTGCAACAGACTTGCTCACCACAGCTATAGACATTCACATGGTTGCACCCAGGCAATACCAGTTTGACCCGTGTCTTCACACTCTGCACTGCCAGAGGCAGAGTCTGTGGGAAGAGGGCTTCTGCCAGGTCATGCAGAGGGCCCTGCTGCTTGTTTCCCCATGGTCTGAGCTGGGAAGAAGCTTCATGAACTCCAAGAATCATTTTACTGGTCGTGTTGATGGGGAGAACATTCCTGGGTTTCATGAGCTGCTCCTAGTTAGCCTGGGCTTCTGGGTGAGGGTCATGGTGGGGCAGTGGGCCTGCAGCAAGGTCTCCCATGCTGAGCAGGGTGGCTGCTCGTGGCATTTCACGTGGCAATGGAACAAAGAACCCAACCCAACCCAAGTGACAAAACAAAACTACCCGGGGATCCAAAGGAAGGACCCGAGGGGATCAGGAACTGTCACTCACCTGTCCACAAAGTGTCTGTGGGGCTGTGCTGGGGTGGTGGGGGATCCATTGGCAAACGGGGGGTCACGGAGGACCCGGTACTGGAAGGGTTTGCAGGAGGAGCAGAGAGAGCTGTGGGGCATGGAGGTCAGCAGGGCCGCGTCGATCTCCATCCTCTCGTCGAAGGTGTAGATTTTGACTCCAGACACCTTCTTAGCTATGTTGAGCTTGACAGTAAAAGGGACGTCACAGAAGGTGTCCAGGGGGCCCAGATGGATGGATTCCCCCTGCTCTGTCAAGACTTCGATGTCAGACAGTGCTTTGGGAGTGCCCGTGGAGAGGTAGGTGGTCCAGAGGGTGAGGGACTCGGGGTAGACGGGGTGCAGGAAGCGCAGCTCCAGGATGCAGCCATCTGGCTGGGGACATGGCACTGTCATGTTCATGTGGTACAGGTGGAGCTCTGGGCTCCAGGCCTGCAGGCTGGGCTCACAGGGCTGGTCCACATCTGGGGGTCCTGGGCAGGAAGGATGAGGAGAGAGCTGATGAGAAGCAGGGGACAGCTGACCTCACAAGGGAGCCAGAAGGATAATCCTTCCTGTAGAAGCTTAAGCATCTCTGTGCTGTGCCTGCTCACCCCTACAGTTTTGCACCCACTCCAGGTATGTGCAAGAGCTGGTGGCATCTGCTCTAACATCCTAGAATGCAACAAGCACCAGTGTTCTTCCAGCTCCTGAGGGTGCACACAAGAACCACATCTGCCAAGCCTTGTGTCTCCCAGCCCTCGGAAACAGGGACAAGAGCATCTGTGCTGCAGCTGGTGGCACTGCCACCAGCAGCTCTAGAGGCAGCCTGGACACAAAGCTTGCCCTGTAGTGTCATGGGTACAGAAGGTTTGGCACCTGAACATGGTCCCTGGGGCTCCAGAGCTTTGGCTATTGGGGTGAGCAGATCAAAGAGACCAAAGCTTTCCACAGGCAGCTGCTGGAAGAGCTTACAGGCAGAAAGGGACCAGGTCCAAAACAAGCCAGAGAAGCAGCTCCAGAAGGCTGTTCCTCCACCAGGAGGGTGCCCAGGCTGACCCGGGATTCCCAGCCTGCCTCCCCTGGTGGTGGACTAACACTCAGCAAGACAAAAACCACTGGGTTTTCAGCCTCAGCATCACTGGAATTCACCACCCTGTAGCAGAAACACCCTTCTCTTCAAGCACCACTGCAAACATTTCTCAGGGCTCAGCACCAGTTCAAAGCCTCCACACATGTTGCATCAGTCTTCTAAAAACCATAAAACCTGTCTCTTTTTCACCAGAGCAAACGTGCACTTGTGATGATTGTGCAGGAGAAAACAACATCCAATAATTCCAGGACCAGTTTTAATTTGTCAGCAAATCAGACGGGCAGGGGGAACAAAACCACTGACAATAAACAAGCAAAGCTTTGGTTTGTTTGGTATCCCTGAATAAGCATGAATTTCATTATTTAAGTAGATTGTATGTTTTTGCTCTCCCCCTGAGCTTGCAACCTTAGCAAGAAAGCTTTCAGACCCAGAATCTCCACTCCATCCTGACACTCATGTTCAGGCTACATCCCAGAGGTGCAGTGATGCCCAAACTGCATGTTCTCTGCAGCCAACCTGGCCTGTTTCCAGTCAACCTCACCAGCTCAGGCATGCATGTGCACAGAACTAACAGGTCCTCTGGCTCCACAGAGTTCCACAGCAGCATGGGCACTACAGACAGCTCATGGGAGCAGCTCTCCTGCCTCCTCTGCTTTGCCCTTGAAGGACCTGAGGCAGCAGGAGGAGCCCAACAGTTCTTCTGACACTTGCATGGCCATGAAAGCCACCACCATTCCCACAAGGTGGGCCTCTAAACCAACCCCTGGGGCTCAGAATTCCTTACTGCACTAAAGAGGCTCCACAAAGAGGGAAGGCAGAATCAGAGAACACCTCAAGCTGGAAGGGACCCATAAGGGTTCCTGAGTCCAACTCCCTGTTCCAGGACCGTACGCATAACACTCCTTAAAAAACCAAAACAAACCACCACGAAAACCCCCAAACTCTTCTCCTCCCAGCAACATCTCGTCTCTGCCCAGGAGATTCACAGCCAGGGGAAGAAAGGACGTGCTGACCTTCTGCTTCTTCTGGGGTCCAGTAGCCAGAGGAGTCACAGACCCGAGGGGAAGAGGCCTCGTGCACGTACTGACGGAAGGTGCCATCCTCTGCACAGCTGTCACAGAGGGTGTCCTGCTCCCTGCAACACAGAAGGCAAAAGCCCTGGCATGTCTAATCACGACTGGTGAACTTTCCATCCACGCTTTGGCCAGGCAGGATCAGCTGGAAAAGCAAAGCTAAGCTCTCAGGAAGCCCCTGAGATCTAATGATCCTAAAGGTCCTTTCCGAACAAAACAATTCCGTGGTTCTGATCCTCCTTGCAAAGAGCTTTGTCAAAGGCAGGAGACCAAGAGTGACTGTGGGACAAGATGGATTTAATCCTTTCTCTTTCACAGGTTCTTTGGGTAGTGTCAGAGAATCATTCCCTATCCAAAAAGCAGAGCTAAGAGACCTCATGCTTCCCAGGTCAATGTCTCTGTGTTGGGTGGGTGCACTTGGGTCTCTCTCTGCTGCACCTCAGGGCCAGGTTTTTGGCTTTTGTCACTCCTGCAATACCAGGCAACCACAACAGCATCAATTAAAGAGAGTCCCACTGTGATCTGCAAGAAAGAGACTTTCCTGAGACCAAGACCAGCCTCAGGCCCTCTTCTTGGCAAAGTTTGCCACCGGGGATGCAGAACCCCCACCCTGGAGCAGAGCCAGTTCTGAGAAAGAGTCAGGGTTGGCTCTGAAGATCCAGCACCTGCCTCTCAGCCCCATGTTTTCCTGCTCCCAGACCACTCCATCCCCCACCAAAGCAGCCTGGGTGACTTGAGGCCACCCAGCACTTGGAGGTTCTCATGCCTGGGGGGTGGAAGGGCACGTGTTCTTGTCATCCCTGGGTGAAAGGCCCATGTAGGAGAGCAGCACTTCTTCGAAAAGGCAGCAAACGCTGACCCAAGGGTGTCCCAGCTGCCCTCAAAACAGCACTTTTCTTTTACCTGCAGGACACAGCTTTGTGAAGAAGCTTTAACACAAGCTCAAGAAATCTTTAACACGTCCCAGAAGAAAAGCAGAGACCTAAAACCTGCTGGAAACCAGAAGGTTTCACCAGACAGGCTGCTGAACAGAGGCACGGCCCACGTATCCAGGTCTTCCCCAGTCTTGGGAAGAAGGAAGGCAGACACCCAGAGCTCAGGGCCACACACTGCTCTCCAGCCAAACAAGTCTGGTTCCTCAGGATCATTTCTCTGGCTTGAGAAGTTTCCTGCCTTACCCCCAGTTAGTTACACCAGGACTCGGTGCCAGCGCCGGGAACAAACCCCAGCTCCTGCGGTTTCAGCTCCCTGCCTTAACCACAAGGCTGCATTTCCTCCTGGTAAATGGCTATTTTATACAATAAGTGCTAAATGAAGCTCATTTTTCATTCCCTGATTGCACTCTGGGGTTTAAGAATTGGCATGGCCTCCTGATGCTCCTTGGCTTCCCCTCCCAGCACCCCGAGAGCAGGAGGTTTTGCAGGAGAGCGCACGTGCCAGTGGGGCCACCACAGCAGCCCAGCTCTTGTGCCTGAGGGTTCTGCTGGAGAATCACAGGCTCACAGAATCTCAGGGGTTGGAAGGGACCTGGAAAGCTCCCCCAGCCCAGCCCCCCTGCCAGAGCAGGGGCACCCAGAGCACATCACACAGGAACGTGGCCAGGGGGGTTGGAATGTCTCCAGAGAAGGAGACTCCACAGCCTCTCTGGGCAGCCTGGCCCAGGGCTCTGGCACTCTCACAGCAAACAAGTTCTTCCTGAGATTCACATGGAACCTCCCGTGCTCCAGTTTGCACCCAACTGCCCCTTGTCCCATCACTGAACAAAGCCTGGCTCCATCAAGAAACCAAGGGGGGAAAGGGGATGCGGGGCTGGGAAGGGGCTGGTTCTCCACCACGCAGGGTCCATGTGCCTCCCAGCAGGCTGGAAGCCACAGCCCAGTGCAGCACCAGCAGCTCCCCTTACCTCTCGTGGATGACCCCACCGATGGGAGGCAGCCAGTAGATGCTGAGGGAGTCCTGAGTCTGCCCGGTGACCATGGGGGGGATGGGGATGGGCGTGGGCTTCTTGCTGTGCCCCCAACGCTGGTAAACCAGGTCCAGGTAGCAATGCATCCTGGCCACTTGGTTGGGGGTGAAGGTGTTGGTGCAGTCATCGTCTGGGGGGACAGAGAGAGAGGCAGGGCTGGAGGGGGGGGAGGGGGGCACGAGGTGCACCCTCCCTCAACTCCAAACCCCTTCCCGTGTTGGGGACCTCTCCAGGAGATGCTGGGGAGGTGCGGGGGGGGCTGTCCCGGTGCCGTGTGTCCCCAAAGCCACCAGATGGCACTGCCTCGACGGCTCCGCATCCCCGCACCGGCTCCACGCCCCGACGGTTTCACCACCACCACCACCACCACCGACAAGAAGTTGCTCCAGAGGCTCCTCCCGTGCTGCCCAGGAGCAACACCAGCCTTCGGAAACCAAACCAGAAGGGCTCGGTTCCGAGGTGTTGCAGTAGCAGCACCGATAGGAGTCATTCTAGATAAGTTGAGGAGTGGAGAACAAAGGCTGCGCGGGGCAGAACGGCCCCAGTGCATCCCCAGTGCATCCCCAGTGCCCCGAGCAAGGATGGATGGACAGCCTGCAGGAAGAGCTGCTGCATCCCTGCCCACCTGCACAGAGCACCCTTGGGAGGGAAGGGACTGTCCGTGGGGGCAGGAGGAAGAGCAGCCCAAGTCTCTAGGGCAGGGGACCCTCCCGACGCCAACCCGCCGTTACCCGTGTAGCTCATGTAGTTGTTGAAGGGTGTTCCCGTGAAGTGCGTCTGGCCACAGGTGTCGTTGGTGGGGTCTGGGTCCCTGCAGAGCTTGCTCTTTGGGGTGGGGGCAGTGTCAGCACAGAGGTCTCCTGTCTCCATGGATGGAGCCGTCTCCCGGCACGGGTCGTCGCACGATTCCCGCTCGCTCACTCCCTTGAAGACGTGGTACAGCCCCAGGACGTGCCCCACCTCATGGGTCATGGTGTTCGTGTGGCCAGGCATGCCGTAATAGGCAGGGTTGAGGACAACTCCACCTAGAGTTGCAAGTGCAGAGAAGATGGTTCAGAGAAAGGGAGAGCGGGCAGACGCCGTTACTCACCTCGACTAAGCAAAATTCCTCTCGCTGGGCTCCCAGGTGGCAAATGAGGTGCCAGGTGGAGGCCTGAAGATGGACCTGTTCACCCTCTTGCAGGATGGGAAGAGTTCTCCTTTGCCTTCTTGGAATGGAATGGAGTGGGTGGTTCTGACCTCACCACTCCCCTCAATGTCCTCAGTCGTTTCAGCCACCATTTCCCTCCGTGACTTTTAGAACTCAGGGTCTGCTCCAGCCCACACTTGCAACTCCAAGTGATGGACAGGGCCAAGGCACAAACCTGGGACTTGCTGTGAGTTCCCAGGGATAACCTTTTAAACCAGAGGAGAGAAAACCCAGCCCAGATGGGTGGCTAAAGCAGAGCAGTCCCTATGGCAAGCGAGGAGAAGGAGGTGCCCAGCAAATGCCAAATACTTTTGGCTGTGCCAACAAGAAGGGACCTTCAGGACAAGCCAATATGAAGATTCAAATGCCTCTGGCCCCTGCTGAGATGGCGTCTTCTGCTTCACCCTCCAAACCAGACCCTAAGGAGAAAATTTAAACTCCCACGAGGTGCTGCTGCAACCCATGATGCTTCCACCTCCAACCTGGTGCAAACTGGGAGTGACACCTTCCAAAACCCTGCTGCTGAAGATCCGTTCCTCTCCTTCAGAGAGGTCTGTGCGTGGCCAAGGTGAGAACTCCCCCTCCACCACCATCACAGCCCTACTCCTCTTCACTGGGGCAGCCCAGCCCCTTGACTGGTGGGGCCACCAAGGGGCAGTTTCATCTCCAAGCCCCCCTTGGTGCAGGTTCAACTGGCGAAGATGCTGGAGCATGCTCATGGACTCAGCCCCCCAGAAACTGCTCAAGGCTCTCACCCTATGCTGACAGCAACAGTGCAGAGCTGGGTAGGACCCTCAGCTGCAGGACAAGGTGCTTTTCCTCTCCTGCTCCCACCCTGCAACGGGAAGGGCAAGGAGCAATGATGCTGAGGAAAGCCAAGTGCAGCAGAGCCTTCTCCCTGACTTCTGACCAGGGATGCACACCCTGTACCAACAACTCCACCACATCTACTGAGCAACTGTCCAGGGAAAACACTCAAAAACAAGCCTTCCCTCTCCCCTCTCACTTTTTCTTTTGCCCAAATACAAGTGTCACTGGAAACTCTACATCTTTTCTCCCTCTCCCAAGGCTTTTCAGTGGCCATTTCCCCATCTCCCTTCCTCCCTCCATCTAGTTTTCCATGCTGCCTGACAGCAGAGCTAGCACTGGGAAATATCCCCAAGGCAAGGGGCAAAAAGCAGACCCTAGCAGGTGCCCAGGCTGGCTGCAGACAATACCTCTGTGACACAGAAGGCTGTTTTTCCCCAACTACTTTTGACCTCAGCAGTCTGGATGGCAGCACGGTGGAGATTTGGCTCCAGCATGGCTTGCTCCCTCCTTTGCAGGGCCCTGGAGGATTTCCTCTGCCAGCTACTTCACAGCAGAGCCTCTGCTACTGCATCTTTGCTGCTGATTGCTGCCCCTGCCAGCAAAGTTAAAATTTGGCAGAGGGTCACCCTGTGATCCTGTCTCAAGCATAAGCTGCTTGAAATCTGCTCCTGGATCAGCTCCGTGAGCTACTGGGCTACCTCCTGTCCTGAAGCACAGG